TAATAAAAATTGTAATTTTGTAAAAATAGTCAAAATATTACTATTTTAAACGAAATATTATTTCAATTAAGGATGTGTTAGGTTTAATTCTTTGAGAGGAGAAAAACTTATCACCAAAACGAAATATTTGTGCTGTGCTGATGGTCCACTTGTATTCCCCAACCCTTGTAAGTGAAATAAACTAGAAATTCATTCTAGTAAATAAACTAGAAACTATGCGATGTTTAAAAAAGAAAAAAAATTTTTATGAAGTAATTTTTATAAATAAGATTTTAATTATTTTTATATTTTTGTTCTATTAAAATTTGCCTTATTAAAATCAAATTATTTTATTATATTCAAATTTTTAATTTTTGATAATAGTTGAAATTTAAAATATATTATAAAAATTATAAAAATTAAAAAATTTATTATAATTAACAATTAAAATTTTTGATTTACTTTAAAATGTAGAAAGTCATATTAGTTAAATTAAATTTATAAGAGTTTATTTGTTTATTATTTTTTTAATTAATTAATTTATTAATTTATTTAATATTGATTCGTTGATCGATATTTGCACTGATGACCTTTCGCATTTCCTTTTTCCTCGTTTATAATGACCTCGTAAAGTGCAATTATAAGAAATAGTTTTATTTGGAGACATAGTTCGAAATTCTTTATAAATAATATTCGATTCCCACAAGCCACGTGTAAATTAGTTTAATGTTGTATTGATTTTATTATTTTCCAGAATGAAAAGTGTTGTTCTGAATGTTGTGGAAACCGAGTAAATCCGTGAGATTTTTGCCTCTTCCACTTAGCTGATTGATAACGTAGAATGTTCGTTGTTTGAAGTTCGTTCACGTTTACACCTTAAATCCTTCACTTAGTCCCTTTGGCTTATAAAAACAATCTTCTTCCTCTTCTTAAGAGTCACCATTACTGATTAAACTTGCTCCACTGGCTTGTCGCATTGAGCAATATGCCAGGGAGTCCCTTGGCGATAGAAGTACTGGTGAGTCGCCAGCAGGATTTTCGTACAGGTTGTCCTGCGGGGAATCGAATAGCAGCTTCGGCTGCTCCAAATTGCAACAACTCACTGAGCCATCCTATCCCCTATAAAAACAATAATAAAATAATAGCAGTAATAATATATTAATTTTTTAATAATAATTAATTTTTTATGCAATTCTGGATTGTCCCTTTCGCTTAATATTTCTGGTTACACTCATTCTACAAGGTGAAGTTTTCATCTTGGCGATAGAATTACAGGTGAGTCACCGGCATCACTCGGATTTCTGAGGAACACCTGGCCGGTGCATCTTTGCTTTTTAACACGACAATCAGCAACTATAAGCATTTTCTAAACTAATTTATGTTTTTGAAATATGATCTGAATAAATCTATATTATATTGTTTGTTGTCTGGCGAGTTTTTGAAGAAAATAATTAAAAGCTAAAAATCGAGAAAATAGAGAAGTAAAATGCGAGAAGCGTGTTGTCATTACTAGTTTCCCTTCTATTTTATGTACTAATATTTCTTTCTTTTAGCGAAATAATGAATCGTTGAATTTATATAAGTTGGTGATTAACCACTTTCACCATTTTTACTTGCGCTGAAGCTATTACGGTTAGAAATTTTAAAGCAGAGAGTCATTTGGCTATTACCGGCATTTTTAGCTCATTTTTTCTATGGGGACTCAGAGCAGAACCATTGTCCCTCAGTAGTTAAACCACTATTCATTTTGCTCTCATATTAGACTTAATAATAGTAAAAGTTAATGAAATTAAAGTGATTTGCTAGAATTACAAAAATTTCCTTACTAATTTTATAATTTTATTATTGTAAATTTTGACTGAAAAAACATATTTACAAAGATTTTTTTTTGAAAGATTAAAAATTATTTAAAAATTCAATTTACTTAAATAATTGAGTCAGAATGATTAGTCTTTTAGTAGTTCGATTCTTTTCAAATGAAAGGAGTAAATCTACCGTTATTTAGTAAAAGTAAAATCTGGGTGACTGCCACAGGCTCAGTTGCATCGTTGTTTCAAATCCAAATGACTTTCTGGTGAGAGAATATTTCGTTAAACTCGAAGAATTAAACGAAGAATTAAACTTGTAATTGAATTAAACGATTTTCGTCGTTATTTATTTTAATTGATTTAGTGAAATGAAAAGCACTGATAAGCTAAATTGATAAACAAATAAATTAGGGAAGATTAATATGTGAAATATGTTTAAATTACAACCGTCTCCAAATGTGCGATAAGTGGAATCGATATTTCACTGCAGAAGAAATTTTCATTTCTCTCTTTTCAGCCAGAAACATTCATTGATGAACATTCTTTAATACCTAGAACTATGCTAAACTTAACAGTCTGTGGTCTGTAATTTTATGAGGGCAGTGGAAATGGTTCATAATATAGCTGTTTAGCCACAGTTTTACTTATTTTGGCTCATATAGATAGGCACTTTGAACTATTCTAAAAAATTTGAGGAGCTGCCATCTCGGAATTCAGGCTGGTATGTATGGATGATCCATCGAATCGATAGGCTTAAGAGCGTTCATGCCTTTCCAGAATCTTCTTCTTTCATTATAATGACTTTTACATCCAAGAAGAAATGGTTGTACGAAAAATATATATGAGCATAAGGCGAAATATTCATTCGGTTCTTGTATATTCATTTTTATAATTTTTTTCTTCTTCTGCACTTGCCATTATTTTCGCTTCGTTGGCTTGTCGGACTAGACAATTTTTTTGAGGAAATCACATAATGATAGAAATGGGTCGCCTTGGTTCTTAAAAAGAAGGTTCATTCCTACCGGGAATAGAATCCTAGCAGCGGCGATTCGAAATGCGAGCAGTAACCTTAGGTAATAGGTTAAGCCATCTTCCATCATAACATCCATCAGTTAAGCGTTGTGTAATTCATGCAATTTTTTTTTGACAAATTTGTTTCTTAACATATCATTGCTGGAAAATTATAATACTTATATAATAATATTTATCGTCGATCCATATAATTTTTAATTATATTTTTTTGTAAAAACGATATTTTTTATTTGCAACTTTTTATTAATTAATTTTAATTAATTTGTTACAATTATAATTTGAAGGGCGGTTTCTCTCCACTTTTTTTCATGCGATTTCTTTTTTCATGCAAAAAAATTGCGAACAGAAATTTTCGTTTATGACATTTCAAATATAACATTGTCGCATAGAGTCGTACGGTTGTTTCAACTGGGAATTCCCTAAATTTCCTCTCTCAATAAATCTTTCGTAAAATGTGAACAATGCTTGTCATTAACGAGGACCCTACATGTTGTATTTTATTCGCCTCCGATTCTGTGGTGAAACGATTTTTTACTTAGTGAGGAAGTTAGTTAAATTAGAATTACTTTTAATTTTCTAATGTGAGAAATTTGATGATAAATTGTTGATAAGTGTGGTGATAAATTCTTCTTCTTCTAACACCTCACCATTGCTGGTTGGGCTGGCTCCACTGGCTGGTTGGGCTGGCACAAAGATAAGGCATCTCCAAGCTATTTGGTCTAACGCTATCGCTGATAGTAATAGAAACCACTCCTTCTTTCATTGTCTCTGTGATGGTAAGCAAGCAAATTTGAATGAAAGTGGATGCGATCATGTGAGATTTTATCCACTCGGAGAACCCGTAAAATGTACCTTAGACATGAGTGGTCAAAGATGATAAATTATACTTTTCAATAAATTTTGTGCTAAAAATTATAGAATTCTAATTCAGTTTTAAAATTCATTTTTCCTTTTTCATCATTATTATTGTTATTTAAAATTGTGAGAGAAGAAATTTCAAAGTATTTTTCTGAATTATATGATTATTGTCAAAACGTGTAAAGCGATATGTCATATATTCAACGATCCATAAAAATTTAGAATGTTTTCCTGGAAAAGAAAAAAATGTGATAAAATCTGGAATGGAACGCACGCACGGAACGAGAAGGCGTTTATGTTCCATTTTTGTGCGTTTTATGCATTTTTTTTTGTCATTTTGTGGCTTAATTCCCATGAAAAATTTCAAAAAATGAACTTTTCATCGTTCCATATAATTCCAAAAAATGGCTGACTGATGGACTGACAGTTCTAAATCGGTCAATCGATCTGATTTTTTCATTCCTCTAATAAAAAAAAATAGTTTGGAATTTTTCATTTTTTTTCATATAATTTTATGAAATCATATAAATTTTTATATATATAAAATATAAATTTTTATTTGAAGAATCGGCAATTAATCTTCTTTGATTTTCAAAAAAATTCTTCGTTTATTTTTACTTTAAATTATTTTTATTTTAAATAATCTTCCGGCTGATGTTGGCAACTCATTTGTACTTCTATCTATCGCCAAGGGACTTCCTGACAAATCTGTTTAATGGGATAAGCCAGAGGAGCGAGTCTAACCAGTAATGATGAGTGCTCCTAAAAAAAAATTTTTTAAAGTCTAAAAAACTCCTTTTCAATGAAATTTTTGAAAATTTTAGTGTTTAAAATAGTAAAAAATTTCAAAAATTTTTTAAAATTTTGAAATGTTTTAAAATTTTCCAAATTTTTTGAATTTTTATCAGTTCTCTTTATATTAATTCTAAATATCTTAGAAATTCCTAAATTCCTATTTTTTTTAAAATTTTTTTATCCTTTTTCCTTTTTAATCGTATAAAGCGACGATTGATTTAGAATGATAAAAATAATCTTTTTAAGGAAATAGTTCACTCATTCGCTGTCATTATGGTATCATTCGAGAATCTCATTAGTCAATTTTTTTTTTAAATTTTTTTCTTTTCTTGAATTTTTTAAAATATTCCTTAATTAATACTATTTATTCTTCAAATTCGATTATAACCGTTTAATGAATATAAATTTTTATGAGTAAAAACTTTATTATTTTCAGAATTTAAATCATAAGGAGTCAGACTGTTTGAAATCAATTTTTTTTTCCAACGTTAAAGTGATTTCGTAACGAATTTTTACTGTATTGGATCAATGCTTGCACCAATTATTACAAAAGATATGAAATTATTTCCAACGCAATCATTGCCACCGAAAAATGTTCGTTATCGTGCACATAGCCTTAATGAATTAAGCAAATCAAAACTGCAATCGCGTAATACAGTTTTATCAGCAAGTCATCAGCGAACTTCACAATCAGTTGATCAACTTCCAATCAACTCATCGAGATCATTATTGAAAAGCTGTTCTATGCGTAAACCTACAAATCTTGATGCTATTGTTGAAGGTGTTGAAATGTCCTCAAATAATAGTAGTAATAAATGTGCGGAAAAAGTTTCAACAGCAGTTTTAGATAATACAACTAAAAAAGGAAAAATTTTAATAAATCCTCGTAAAAATAATAAAGATATTATCACAACAAATAATGTTTCATCTTCTTCATCGCAAAAATCTTCATTTGGTTGGCCAAAATGCGTTGTTAAACGATTTACTGGAATGATGAAATCGAAATCCAAAAGTGATACCTTATCAAAAGATCCAAAGGTTCGTAAACGGATTTGATTTCTCTTAATGTTCTCTACTATTTCTCCATTAAATTTGATTATTTTATTTGTAGTTTTTTACTTTATAATTTCTTTCTTTAATAATTTTCTTTTTTTTATAGATCTCTTTTTTTCATCGAACATCATTTTTTAGAAAAATTTTTAACAATGCTGAGATTAGATGAAGCGAATATTGTAACTCATGTTTACTTTTATGTTAACTTATTTCATCCAGTTGTTTTCTGCTTCAGATTCTTGTTTTCCTTTCAGAAAAGAGCGATCCTTCCTTTTTTAGTTTCTATATTCCCCCATCCCTCTTCACATAATTAATTCCACTCAGCCATATGTCTTTCGCTATCACCTTCTCCATTTGTCCAACTAAACAAAAAGGAATGGAATAGTTGGAAAGGATTGTATTTCATTTCATTTTGAGCTGCCACAGTTATTAGTCCTGGTTAAATAGGTTAATGCATATTTTTCCTGTATATATTTTATTTTATTATTTTATTGATTATTTTATCAGTCATAAGTATGAATTCATTGTTATGCACGATTATTATTTTATAAATTTTTAATATTTGAAAAAAAATTTGATCTCTTTTCTTTCTAATATATTATATAAAGTGTCCTTTATATTCTCATTAATTTATAATATTTATTTATGCTAAATATTTGAAATCTAAGTTTTCAGAGCCTGAAATGCTCAAAATCGATTCATCTGGCTATTCATCTATCGTAATAGGTCCATCAGTAATTTTTTTGTTCATACAAATTGCTATAAACTTCACATTTAATCTGAAATGAATGCAAGTGCTTGTGTATTAAATTATTATAGTTAGTCAAAAATTTCTGAAATTTTATAAATAATTAGAAAATTGATTTGATTTATTTTTCTAGTTTTGAAAATAGTCTTATAATTCTATTTCTTAGATTTAAATGAAATCTAAACTAATATTTTTCAAAAAAATTTTTTTTCGACTCGAACGTTTGAATTTTGCAGCTAATGTAACTTTAAAAACAAAAGAATATTCTCGCATATAATTTTTTATTTCTTTGAAATGTATTTTATGGAAAGAAAATTTAGAAAAATAGAAATTATTCATAGTCATATGAAAATCTAAGAAATAAGTGTAAATCTTTACTTATTTTAATTTTTTCTTTATTTTTTTCCTCAAGGATATTCTTTGCGATTTCGCTTAGCAATTTGTGATATTTCATAGTTTTTTAATTTATTATTATTGTTATTATAATTTTTATTCTACTCGAAAGGAAAATTCAAGCTAAATTTTATTTTTTTTCAGTCTTCTAACAGTTTAAAATTGTTAATTTAAATAGTTGTTGAGTTGGCATATAATTGTCCATTCAATATAAACTGCTCAGCTGTTTTGCTACGTTCTAATTGAATTTTATGAAAATTTCGCATTTTTTATTAAATGAAAATTAAAAATTTCTTCGTTATCGTATATTGCTTTGCTGGCCAATATGTAAATTTTTCGAATTTGCCAAGTAAAAAAAAATTCATGTAAGAATTGGTCGATTCATCTTGCTTGTAAACTTGTTACGTTGAGATTTTTCTCTCAAACTTCATTAAATTTAATTGGTAATTTGCGAATTGAAATTTTAGCGATAATATTCCTAAAATAAATAAAAACTTATTATACAAAAATAATAAATTAAAAGTTAAAAAATTTTAATGATATGGGGTTTAGGGTGGGTACGTTTATCACCTTGAGCCAAAATGGCTTTCATTATCGTTGTACTGGCGAGGTGGTACTTTCTGGTAATACTGGTTTAAGGAGCCAAAGTTTAACCGAGATGAAATATGTAAAGCATATATAAAATATGTAAAATATATCCAGAATTTTTTAAATATTTTTTTGTAAATTTTCGATATTTCAAAATTTTTTTGCTTTCACTGAAAATGCGATTCTTTTCAAGCGATTAATCTCAGTTGATTTTTATTTCTAAAACTGTCAAGCAAAATTAAATCAGAAAAATTTTTTTTATAAAATTTTCTATTTTCATTTATAATTTGATTGTTTTCATAATAATATTTTTTGTGAAAAATAATCAATCAGATTATCTATAATAGAGTGTTTCATTAATCAATAATAAAATTTAATTTAATTTAATAAATAAAATTTGACAAAATAAAATTTATAATAGTGAATTTTTGTTAAAAAATATATAAATATTTATAAATATTATTGTTTGTTTTTGTACGAACGATTTTCAAGATTTTTTTAGTAGTGATTGATGTATGTGCATGAATAACATCATCATCATCACAGAATTATCGCCTACGCTTGTTCAGCCATATTCCATGTCCATCGTAGGAATTGACGCATATATGTCTATAAGATATCATAAATAGATATGTCCATAGTGAAGAGAACCGAAATTATAAAATTATTCGAAAAAAATTTTATTGATATTCGACGAATTAAATTTGAAAACAAAACTTGGACATATACGGCCAAGAAAGATTCTGGACGCATAGACGACCCAGTTGGTCTTAAATGGTAGGAGAAAAGGAATGGTTCCTCTCAAATATGGCATCCGATCGGACAGCTTGGAAATGCCTCATTTTTATTAGCAATGGAGGCACTCTAACCAGTAATAATGCGAGCTATTAGAATAAAAAGAATGATTGATGGATGGTGGAATGGAATATAATGAATAGTAAGTATATTAATAATAATGTAAAATCACTTTACATTACAAAAAAAGCACAAAATTGATAAGATAAAAGAATTCATTGTTGGAATTCAAAATAATCATTATTAATAAACTCGTTTATAATCGAGCTTTCGACTTTCGACTCATTTTTTCTTTCGACAAATTTTTTTAAAATAAATCATCTCAGAAAATTTCTGACCAACTGGAATTTTCCCTTTGTCGATTTTTTTTTATGGCTATGGATGATGCACCAATAATTTTTTGTTCTTAGAAAGCAAAATTACAACATAATTGCGATTATTATTTTTGACGAATTGCTCTAAATAAACTGAGCAATCATTAGATTTTTATTTCTTCTAAAATATTTTAATATTAATGCATTAATCAAATATTCAAAATGGACAAATACGAAAAAATTTATAGTTGATTGATCATTTGGACGAAATTAGAATTAGTCTTAGGCGTTTTGGTTTGGCAATGATTGCTTTGCCGAGTAATTCACATTTAGCCAACGTTGGTGATATTTATTTTAGAAGGGGTATAATTCACCTAAAAGATTTAATAAGAATTTTCAAAATTTTTTTCTTTATTCCGAAGTTTTCAAATAAATTTAATTCGTCGAATATCAATAAAATTTTCGAATAATTTTATGAATCAGAAATGAAAACTGGATTTTTTAAAAAGTTTAAAAATTAATTTAAATATTTTAGTATTTTGTAATTTCTCAAAAAGAAAATTTTTTTTATAATTTTTTTGCTCAAAAATAGCCTTTCTTTTTGATTCGAATTTTATTTTAAACTTATAATGCAAAAAAATTTGAATTTATAATTTTGAAAAACTATTAGAATTGAAAGAAAATTTTGAATTCTTTCAGGCTTTTCAATGTCTAATGAAATCAATTTAAAAATGAAAACTTCATTAATTTTTTCATAAATTTTGATATTACAAACAATTTCAAACATGAATACTACTTTAAAAGTTATTTACTGAATAAAACAAATGAAACAAATTGCTGAAAAGACTCACTCACTTTTTAGGATAATCTTTTTGAAAATTTTAAAATCCACGAATGAATGCAAATATATAAATAAAGCGATCCATGAAGATTAATGAAATATCTGCGACAATTATTTACTCCAAAAAATTTTTATTTATAATATTTTCTTAGTGAAAATTAAAACAACGAATAAATAATATAAAAGTTATCGTTGAGGCAAAACTGTTCGAAAATTTTGGAATAAAAAAAAGAAATTTCAGACATTTCAGACATGGAACATTCATGAAAACGATTAATTAAATCATTTCGCTTCGCGATTTAAGTTTTCTTTTATTTTTTGTAATAAATTTAAATAAAATCATGGAAATGAATCATTTTTTATGCAATAATTTAACATTTTTCATTTATTTTTATTCGAATAATAAAAATTCGATATTTTCCCATTATTTTCAATTAAATTACTCATTTTTTTTCAAATATACTTTTAAAAATTTTGTGATTTCTACATTTTTATAAAAAATAATGAAAAACATTCAGTAAAAAAATTTCTTAATAATTGCTTTAAAAAACGGGAAAATTCATTTACAATGAACTGTTCGAAAAAAAAATAAAGAAATCGGTGTAATAAGGAAGAAAAAAAAATTGGCAGTATTAGCCAAATTATGTATTTTATTTTTGTATATTATGAATTATGCAATAATTTTCATATTAAAGTATATTGATATTATAAATAATATTATAAAATTAATATTAATAATATTAATATTATAAAAGTATATTAATTTACTAATTCTAAAAGCGAGAAAGAATACTTGTAAAATAGCAGCGAAACTTTTCGCTTCGATTATTTCTTATGAATTTTCAAGGAAAAGAATTGCCATGAACAGGTGATGACAGTCATATTTTACTTCTGAGCCTTGAATCTAAGACTTCCTCAAACAAAATATTCCATATAACTTTAAATTCTAAAGCAAAATTTAAAATCTAGTTTAATCATCAAGATCTGTGAGATCTTCGAAGTCAGGATCACGGTATTCAGTCCATCTGCTTGTCACAGGTTTATTCCTGAAAATTTATTACTTATGATTGCGCCGTTGTTGATTCTCAAAAACTTAATTGCTTATAATAATACTAATAGAAATTTTATAAGATTTCTCGTAGAAATCAATTAGTCATTGTTATTGTTGTTGTCAAATATTTGTGTTAAAGTAAATTTGATGCTTCTAATCGTTGTTGTAAAAATGTAAAAATCTTATGAATTTGATCTTTTAGATGTGTTGGAATTTAAAAAAGAATGAAATCATAAATTTTTTTAGGACATTGAAAAAAGATTTGAAAAAGATACCATCAAATCAAATCTAAATTAAATTCTTTTATACTGATAAATAAAATTTAAAAAAAGCGATTTATATCTTTTTTTAATCGCAAATTCTATCGTTTTTTCTATAGAAAATTTTTCATTGTAAAACAAATATTTTATGAGAAATATTTTAAGATTACCTTGCAAGACTTTCAAATGAAATAGGATTTTTATCGCGAATTTCACGACCTATCGCTGTAAAACGCTGTTCCCAAAATGAAGCAGTTCTTAATGCTGCACTAAGATAAGACGTTCCATGATTTCTCCAATCTGTATTTCCCTTAAAATTAATAAATATTTTAAATTAACTATTTTTGAAACTACTTTACTCAACTACTTTATTAATTATAAAAGTCATATTAATAGTTATATCATTACAAAATTTAATTTTAAATCTAATTTTGAATTGAAATTCTTATTGTATTTTTTTCTTTTCCTTGTGAAAATAGAAGAAATTCTTCGGAGTTGTAATTCGAAATATGATAAAAATATGCAAAAAAAGTATTCAAAAATTTTAGGTCATCATTAAGCAGAAAAGTATAATCGCTAAAAGAGCAATGAAACATTGATTTACTCAAACTTATTTATTGTAAAAATTCAAATTTAAGAAATTTTTCAAAAAAATTTTTGTTGAATAAATCTCAAAATTCCTGAAAATTCAATAAATTATTCATAAATCCGCGATGTGATTAATAAAATAAAAGAAATAACTTTTGTAAACATATATCCGGAAACAGGTGCTTCGCCTTTAGATTTCATTTCCTGTAAAATTTTTTCTTCCCATTCTTGAGGCCTAAAAGTGATGGCTAATAATAATGAAAGTAAAAGTAAATTTATTACTCAATAAAAATATTTTAATGGAAATTGAAAATAATAAATCTCTAGTATTTCGGCATTTTTAAACCCTAAAAAAATCTAATCCGATGTCTAATATTTTTTATAAATTATAAAATTTTTCTAAGCCAATAGAATTTGTTAAACAAAACAAAAAATCTATAAAACACAATTGTTCTAAAATTTAAGTCTAAGTCTGGTTAAATACAAAAAATTTAACACAATATGTTCACCATAGACAATAAACTAGCACAAACTTTACAGTATTAATCTTTTAATTTTTTTTGAGAAAAAATGAACAAACCCTCTGGGCACATATTTCCCCTCAGGTCGTCTGTACAAATCGACTGAATGCTGCAAATCAAAGTCGAAATAATCCGGATCATGTCGATTTGGACGACTGTAATAAGGGCGCGGGAGAAAAGCCTGTTCAAAAGAAAATAAAATTATCATTATTAGAATTCATAAAAATAAAATCTAAATTAGAATTATTACGATTTTACTTACAATTTTTACTTACAATTTTCTTTCCACATTTTAATCCTTGATTGTTATCATTAATCATTGTTGAAATCAAAAATCTTGAGGAAATTCCGAAAAATTCACTTTCACTAGAATTCACTAGAATTCATAAAAATAAAATCTAAATTTCAATTGCAACCTTTTTTTTCAAAAAAAAAAAATGTTTAGTAATTTTAATGTTAAATTATTAAAGCTTATTTTCACGATGACATGAAAATCTATACTTGATAATCAACTTCGTCCATTAATATTTCAGATGTGCTTCCAGCCGCTGGTGCTGGGCCATTCCTAAATTCTTTAGTGGTAATAGTTTTCATTGACTGTGGGAGAACTGACGTTCTCAGAAGACGAGCTTCGATGTCATTTGCTTTTTTTTCATGCCGAGATTCGATACCTTGCGTCGAGAAAACAGCTGGTGCAACATATATATCTAAAAATAGATTATCATTTTATAAAAATAACTTGGAACACGCGAGAAATCAAAATTTATTATTTTTGTAGCGAAATTGCGAAAGCAAAAGAGCTATCAAGAAAAATGAAAATGAAAAATGGATTTAAACTAGCAGTTTCCCTTATCAAACATATCGATCATTCAAGGATCAGTGAAGAGACTATTGATAAAGCAACTTTCATAAGTTCAGAATAATCCATCGAAGTTTAGTCGCATGCAAAATAGTGAATCAACGTGAAAAATATAGGACGACGACTCATAAAGCAAGCAAAAGCTGGACAAGTGCCGACGTACTACACAAAAAAGAAAGAAACGATAAGTGGTCTAATGTAGATAAAAGCACCACAGGTGGACCCCAAAAAATAGCTTTTTGGCTTTGCATTTTCGCGACTATTTTAATATCAAATTAATTGCATTTTGCTCTGCTCGATCTCTTTCTAGAAAAAAAGTAAAGTATAGCTTAAAGTATAGCTTATAGCTTAAAACGCAAATATTCGGTAAATCATAAATCTTGATTTTAAAAGTAATAGTTAAACATCTTGAAAATAAACATCTTGAACTCGAACTCTTTTATTTGCTCTTTAGAATATCAAAATTATTCAATCGAAAATTTTTTCTCGTATGATAACATTATGATAAGACCATTTTGCCAGAGTCAATCGATTGTAGAAATACAGGTGCTGCAGAATCAATAACATTCGGATTTAACATTCAGTGATAAGTTGATAAATTTTTCCCGTTTACGGATAAAAATCTAATTTCTAAAATGATCGACCTTAGTCGATCTTAATATTAATCGTTAAGCGAGAAAAGAAAAAGGCAACTGAAAATGACGAATAAATTCTTAAATTTTAAGAAATCTCTAGCTTTATTTTCAAATAATCGCCTATAAGATATTTCCATCTTTCCTTTTCCACATTTTTTTCATTTGATATTCCAACTTTATATCATATAATTCAGGTTTTTTCCACTGTAAACTTCTTTCTCGGATGCTAAACTACTTAGAGCTCGAATAATACAAGCAAAAAGAAAAATTTTCATGTTTTATAACATACTATTTTCCACAAATTCTCCAGTCGTTAGTGGATGGCTTGTATGAAAGCTGGGCGATTGCACTGACGGACTTCTAGCCGATAGTATTTCGAAAGGACTTTCTGAACGTCGAAAATTTCGTCGACACAATTGTGAATCCATAAATTGCATCTCTTCTTTACTTCGTTCAGCTGTTTTACGTACCTAAAATTCTGCTTTTTGGATTGAAAATTTTGTGAGCAAATTGTATAAAAAATACTTCAAATTTTTTCGTATGTCCCGTAATAAACCAAAAAAAAAAATTGGAGATTTTTTCCATTTTTATTTAGTATGCAATCATTAATTTCCTGCCTTATAATATGAATCCTTTATTGATTCTTCTAATTGTTTCCAGGCCGGTTTTCGTTCTTCAATCGCTGCTTCTTTCATATCATCAAAATTAATTCTTTGAAATGGTGGAGTATACAGCGGACATCTTTATAGTTAAACAAATATCAGTTTTCTTATCAAAATTATCATAATGTTTAGTGAAAAGAAAAGTAGAAAATCTCAGATAAAAAAATATCTCGCATATTGCGTACACACATTATCATATCATATCATATCAGTTCGAGAAATAATTAATCTCAAGCATTACCTAGGAACCACTATTGCATTAAATTCTTTTGAAGTTGAAATATCATCTTTTTTCTTATTGCTGGCCAGGATTGTTGGCCCTTGCAAACTTGAATTCGCATCCATCAAGTTTTCATTTGTTTCCTTAAAAAAACTTCAAATAGCGGGATTTTCCACTTCTTTGGAACTATAAAAATATTCCGATGGATCGGTACAACTGTGATTTCGAATAAACAAAATACATTTGTCGCTGAATTACTTTATAATCCGCTATTAATCTTGCCTTTGCCTTCTAGTAGTACTCATGTTTTTAGCCTGGATGAGTTTATCCAGTTTGAGGGTTAGACTTCTTCAGAGAGCCATTTGAGGATGGGAGTACAGTCGATAATATTTCGAAAGGACTTTTGAAAGGAATGTCATTTTTCAGCTATCATTTCATTCTAATTACATATTTACAGCCAAAAGGCAAGTACCAAGCTTATGCCTCCCATAATGACTGGCCCTTTATCTTAATCGAATATGCCTTTACTGGTTTCATCTGCTGAACAATGAGTCACTAGAATAAGTGATTGTTCCTTATTATGATTATCAGAGACTTTAATATTGATACCGGCTGAGATGAGGGTGATGGTTGTGGTTCTTTGTCCTCATTTGACTCGTCGATATAACTCATTTGTGTGATCCTGAAAAAAACCCTCTTTTTTATTAAATTATAATAAATAATTTAGGAAGAAAATTCGCAAAATAGCAAAAATTTTCACTTCCCAGAGAAGAAATTTTCTTTTTTTATGTAATGCTTGTTAGTCTACGAGATGGTTTATTTTAGTGCCGTTCGTTTTCAGATTATTTATTTTAAACGAAGAACAATATCGTGAAATGAGAAAAACCGAAGAAGCAAATATGGTTTATGTAATTTTTAAGCTATCTTAAGGTAAATCTGATAAATCGACTTAAATCACAAGTATTCCAGCCTTCGGATGAATGAAAATCGCGCTAGAAAAAATATTTGGCATATAAGAAAAAATTTTTATCTCAGAAAAAATTTAGGATTTAATAAATCCATAATTTTTATTTCCATTGTTTCCCACAAATTTTATAAACATAAATTCGAGTTTGTGCTTATACATTGACAGAAATTCCGTCAAAACTGTCAAAGTTTCTGTTTCAGCTGAAGTGAATTCTTTAAATCGTACCTCTTAAACCTTAACAACGATAAGCCGTCAAACATTGCATGCACGATGGCATTTAAAGCCGTAAAATTAAGGTATTTTATTAAATTTAATTATTTAAACACTAATCAACCAGTGATATGATTTTTGTTGATAATTTTTCAATGATTATCAACGTTTAGGTGAATTGGAATTAAAAATGAAACTGCATTCTACAAAAATGAAATGAAACTACATGGAAGCAAATAATATGTTAAAAATTGATGATTTCCATAAACAAAAAATGTATAAAAATTCCTCCAAAATTTATTTATTTTAATATTTTATTGAACTAAATTGAATAAAAAAAGCAAAGCCATTCATCGGTGTTAAAAAGAAAAAATTTAAAATTGTGATAATTATAAGATTTTTATTCATTTCAATCTTTTTTCCCATTCATAAAATATTTTTAAAATATCTTTTTTTTTGGTTTTAAAATTATTAAAAGAAAATTTAGAAAAAATAGTAAAAGAATTTATCTTTAATAAATTTTATTTAAAAGAAAATATTAAAAAAAATTATAAAGGAAAGAAAATTGGAAAATATTGAAAAATAAAAATCTTAAATAAGTTCGAAATAAAAGTTGTAAAAATTTTCAATGAATTGTTGAATTAAACAAAAGTAAATAAAGCAAATATTGCTGGAATTTCGATCGAAAACTTCGTAAACTAACTGATCGTCTCAGTTCGAATTCTCTTCAATGTGCTCTTTGCTGTAAAATATGATACTCAGTGGATGAATGGATGGATGGATGGATGAAGTGTAACACTCATAATAAATAATTGCTATTGGAGATGAACTCCTCTCCCCTTGCATTTTACGCATAAAATACCTTATTTTTACGTAAAATTATTTATGAATGGAACTTGAAAATTCACTTTGGCAGTGTTTTTGGTGGTTTTCTGAAAGAGATTCTGAATAGAATGAATTAATATTTTTGAAATTTTGAAATAAAATTATAAATAAAATGATGATTTCCTTGCATTCATCTTTTTTTAACATTAATCATTTTTAGTTTTATTTATTAAATAATTTAATTTTAATAAATATTCAATAAATATATTTTTAATAAATATATTTCATTATTTAAATTCTTCATTATATAATCAAAGATAAAAATAAATATATATTTTAATAAACATTTAACAAATATATTTTTAATAAATATAAATAATACAAATAATATAACTCATTATTTAAATTTTTTACTACATTAATTTGACAAACTTTTATTAATTTTTTATTAATACTCTAGTTAATAATGCATAGCTCGCTATCTCGCTACGTGCTAAGTGACGAAGCATTAAAAGCCAAGAGGATTAATACTTTGGCTGATAGAGGAAAGATTTTGAACGTATAGCTGGCCTAACAATATAAGGCTTAGACCGTGAAGAAATCAACGGCTTCCTTCTTTTACTCTTAAGTACAATAATGGACCGAGCGATTGGAAATGCCTTAGCCTAGCTTAACTGCTGGAAAACCATGGAATTTGAATAAAATTTACAAAAAGGCGATAATACTTCAATAAGAATAGCGACTCATAGCGTAAACTTAAGTAATTCGATAAATCTTTATTTTTGAAATAATAAAAAATAATAAAATGAATTTTATGGATTTTCCTCAAATTCACTTATTTCATATTTTATTTTAATTTATTTGTAATTTGTTATTTGTAAAACTAATAACATTAATAATTAGAAAATAAGTTTAATATTTTTTTCTTAAAATCATTAAAATTATAAAATTTTGCTTCAAATTTTATTCAAAGTTATTTTTTTACTAAAATAAATCCAAAAAGAGACCAAATAAAATTAATTTCAGGAAAAATTCAATAAAATTTTAAAAATTTAAATAAAAATTTAAACTAAATAAAATTTAAATAATTTTAAAAAAATTTGATCGCTTAGATGAAATTTTATTTATTCGTAGCAAAATAATAAAATTGGCTGCATTATTTTACTGCAAAAAAGCGCATAGCGGCCATTTATTATTTGTAATTGGTTTCATTGGCTTCGACGAGGCATTTCCAAGCATAGTCGATCCAGTGGCATTAGCCAAAGGCATTTCCAAGCATAGTCGATCCAGTGGCATTAGCCAAAGGCATTTCCAAGCATAGTCGATCCAGTGGCATTAGCCAAAACCAGTTTGACTTTTATCTAAAGTCAAAATGCCGAAATGTCGGTGGAGGTGCGATGGTTCAGAGGGAGGCTTTTCTGATCGTACCAGACCACTTCCTCTTTGATTTTATTAAGCAAAATCACTTCCAGTAGCTGATAATCAGCCATCTAACCGATTTTATATATAGCTGTTAGATTCGGTGATATTTGAATTTTCAAAGACACTTTTCGGCTCAGCTTTTCTATTCAACAATAGAATTTATAGAACAAATTTGAAAGAGCCGCAACTGTTCGTTAGTTGTCGATATATCGATTTGTCCTTGGTTGTGCGACGCGTTTATTAATTTAAGCGAAGATGGGGTCGTTTTATTGTTTGACATTTCGGGGTGAAAGGTCATAAGTGGATTCAGGTGTTGAGAAATTAATGTCGTTATTCTACGACTTATTAGGCTTTCGATGATTGATGACCTTTTAATTGTAATCCTCGTATTTTGGGCTTTATTTTGGGTCAAATTATTTTGAAAGTTTTTATTTTTTATTGTTGTAAATATTTTAGTAATATAATGATTTTATCGTTTTCGTTTTGTCCTTTTTTTAATTTTCAAGGAAATTTTCCTTTCTTTCTTTTTAGATGACGCGTCGTTCAAATGGTATATCCCCATATAAAAATTATCCGCGTCGCTCATCGCGTGAACGCCAAGTATTATATTTAAGTTTGGATGAAAATCTTCTGTTGAGCACTCAGTCTGGCACGTCACTATTTCGTACACTTGTGAAGGAGGCGAACAAATCTCGTGAAGCTGTCAGTTTTATTTTTCTCTTCAACTGAATTTATTAATCGTGTTATTTTAAATTTATTACTTTAAGTTGATCTGTAAGGTGAATGATTGGTTTAAAAAGTTTTTGTTCTGGCGATTCTTCACTAATAGTTCAAATCATTGAGCTATTTTGTTGTTAAATAACTTAAGATCAGAGATTTGAAGGTTTATTTCCGCATTTCCTCCTAGTTTCATCGGATATTTGAGTCTTCATCAGCTAGTATTTTGGATTTATTGCCATTTTAAGTTCCAGTAGTAAATAGAAAATTTTCCATTTTTTTAATGCTAAACTTCATATAGTTTAATTAGCTTTTTATCATTGTTTCGTTGAGATTTTTGATGAATTGTTTATCATAAATTGCCGAAATTGATAATCTTGAATGAATGAATCGTTCTCTTCTAATTATTGCTGGTTAGGTTGGTTCCGCTGGCTACAAGGGTAAGACATCTCCAAACCGTTCGGCCCGACGCCGTCGCTTATGATAAGCCATTTCTTATTTCATCGTCTAAGTCTATAGATCGTTAGGCCATTCAAGATCTTTTCTATGTCAATCCAGGTCTTGTTTGATTGGACCACCTCGTTTTTGACGCCATTCGTCACACATTTTGGCAAGTAATGAAATACATGTCGACTGCTGTGGTGAGCGATGAAGAACAAGCCGTAACCAGCGAAGACGACGTTCTTTGATGGTACCATTAATGTAAGTTGTGTTTGAGCGAGAGCGGATGCAACCATGTTCGATTTAATCCACTCGGCTTAGAACCCGCAAGATGTATCTTAGACATGAGTGGTTAAAGGCATATAGCTTCTTAATATCTTCCATTCCCAGTTACTATGTATCGCACCCATATAGTGTGATCGAGTGGAACTGTCCACTATATAAACGTGGACTTTCGTTTTTGTAGTGATTTCGCGAAGAGTTAACCAGAAGAAGAAAATCATTTCCAGCTGCTATTGTCCAGGTTTTACTTTCGTCTTCCGCTCGACCATTTAGGATTAGAGTGAACTTAAGATATTTAAAGTCTGACTTCCTCAGCCGACAAATAATTGATAAAAATAGACATTTTATCAGTTTCTTATAAGACGAAAAAGCTTTCGTTTTATTTACATTGATCTTTTTTATTTTAGATTAATGAATCGTTCATATATACTGAACCGGAAGATGCTATGGAGAAACATCAGCTTCGATCAAGAAATAGAATTTTTTTGAAGGAAAATTCCGATATTTCAGTGCATGATTCAGTTGATGGAGATTCTGATTCAGATGAAGTTATGGATACAGAGAATAGCAAGAATATTTCACGAAGAAAGAGGAGGTAAGGAGGTTTTTGAATTTATTGTATAATATAGGTTTTTATTGATAACTTTTTAAAATACTTTTTTACACATTTATAAGTTGTTTTTTATACATTTATAAGAAGGGACAAAGAAAAAAGTTTTTCAAAAGTTTACTAAACAGAATTGGTTGCCATGTGCTTAATTCAAAAATAATCAATTATAGGGAATGAAATATGAATTTATACGAAAAAATGAGAATTAATAGATTATACAGATTAAATAAATTAAATAGAAATATGAGAATAATTAATAATTTGCAAAATGATTAATAATTTAGTTATAAATCATTTGCATTAATAATTTACATTAAAATTTGCATTTCGTATGTTTAAAATGCCTGAAATCATATGTTTTATTCATTAGGTTTTAGATATTTCTTAGATATTCCTTTAAAAATTATCTAATGATGCTTTAAAAATTAGGTCAATTTTGAGTTTATTCCATTTCTTAATAATGTAAAGAAAGAAAGAAGTAATAGGGTCCCAAATTTGTTTTGCAAATGGGTCTTGGTAGTTTAAGCCATTGAGTCTTGATTCAAATTTAGGTCAAGGTCGTACTTTCAACAATCCAAGTAACCTTAATGTGACCTTATAAAATTTTTTCTTTGCCTACGTTGGTCTATATCCACTTTTTTCTATTTTTCATTTTATCCGACGAATTTTTTTGTTCACTTTGTGCTTGCATAATTTATATTATTGTATAAATGTGATTATGTTAGGAAAGTGCGGGAACTATCATTATTCTCTGTCTTTTCTCTTTTTTCCTTAACTCAGTATTCCTTCAAGCTAATGCTAATCTGGAAAACACATATTACAAAACGCGATCACTTTCGCCCTCATTTTTCTTCATAAATTTTTTATCTTGAAGTCAGTTGTATTATTTTATATTCTTTTCAAAATTCCTTACTCGAGGCTTCATATTTAATTTTTTTCACGATGTAAAATTCTGCAGGCTCAATTGTGAATCACATCGAAAGTTATTCGCCTTTAAAATCCCATCAGGCTTCTTGGAGTTATTGAAATTTTATTCGCTTAATATTAGGCCTATGCATTTGGTAAATTTTTTCTTTATTGCCTGAAGTGGAAAAGAAGGGAATGAAAGGGAAAAGCAGTATTACCAAAAAATTCTTTAGCTGAATTAAATTATGTGTTCAAATTATATCTTGATATCTTATTCAAATTATATCTTGAATTATATTTGTTTTTTTTCATATTTTTCCTTGCCATATTAGGACGGGATTCTGAACGGGGTTAAGGCTTAATTAAAATTGACTTTGTTAATTTCTCTATTTTCTTTGTCTTTTAAAAACTATATGAATATGTTGCCGTTTTTTATTTTAGGATTCTCCAGTTAATGTCTGGCTTATTGGATGAATATCTATTTGTTAATTTGGTTATTTCTTATTTAGACAATACGGTGATACCTATATCAATAAGACTACGCCAGAAGCTGTTAATTGCGATGATAATTCCAATAGTAATGTAATTGATTCCTCAAATATGTATGAAAATGTGAAGAGACGACGACAACAGATGCGCCAGCAATCGCAAACCAACCACATTGAAAATGATTCAAAATCGACAACACCAGAGGCGAAGGATATCCATTTTAACGGGTAAATTAATTTGAAATTGCAGTTTTTATGCATATCTTCATTTGTCATATATTTATCAGCCTTTTAAATTATTACAATTACAGTCGTTGTGCAAGTCGAAACAATCGAAAAAGTCGAGAGGTTAATATTTATTCATTTTTTTTTTGAAAATTTTTCGCATGAGACAATTCTGTATCCATCGATTCTGCATCCATTATATGTATATTTACTTGATTAGTTGTTCCTTAGAAAAATTATTAAGCAAAAATTATTCAGGTAAATAATTTTTCACCTTTTTTTGAATTGTTAGGAAGATGCTGATGAATCAGAAGAAAACGAAACAAAGCATTATCTGCTTAGACCGAGATATTGTGTTCAACAGCGCTCACAATCTCACGCAAGCAATACTTTTGGTCGTCTGGTACCAAGGTCACTTCGACCACGTCCTGCTGTTCGGTTTGTTTTTTTTTATTTTATCTTCTATTAATTTCGAAGGCCACCTTAATAGTAAGAAAAAATATATACATAAAAAAAGAATATACGGAAAATGCGGAATCACATTAGCATAAATTTTGTATGCTTAAATAAATTTTGCTTTTTTTGCTTTGCATAGGATTTAGCTCTAGAGTTCTCTTTTCCTTAAGACTATTCGTTCTTTTTTTCAAGTTTTTTGGGTAGAAATTTCTTTTTTTCAAGATGTCTACTTAAGCATTAATATTGCATGCCTTATATATTACTATCTTCAAAATGCGAAAAAAATTTTTATTATTTTCTAAAAAGTATTATTTGAATCATTCACATCGGAGATGAAAATCACTTTAATAAAAAATGCAACAAATTTTTCTACTGATATTGTATTCATGACTTTTTGAGTTGTGAACTATAAATCTATTCCATGGTATTCTAGGCGGCGATATGAATATGTTCTCTCAGAATGCGATGACATGGAAGTATCTCGGCCGTTGAGGCATGATATAAGTGGCGGTACTTCGAGTCAACTTTTGCCATTAAATACTAGTATGTCAGCCCTTTCAAATTTGATTGTTTTGTTAAATTATTTTTAAATAATTTAGGTTAAATAAGTAATAAACAAGTTTTAGTGGAAGACGATGATGGGATCACAATGGAATTGCGAAGACGACTGAAACGAGTGGCTAGCATTCCATGTGACATCGATCCTATGGCCATAGATACAAGCATAGATTTCACTAAGATCGGTGGTCTTGATCGACATATACAATCTTTGCAAGAAGTTATACTCTTTCCACTGTTGTATCCCGAGGTCTTTTCCCAATTCGATATTACACCACCAAAAGGAGTTCTCTTTTATGGTCCCCCAGGTAAATTCGTATTTTTTAATGATTACATAGTTATAGGCATATCTCAATGATTTTAAAATAAAATTACGTTCTCTCAAGATGGAGGTTTAAGATAATTCAATTTAGGTACGGGTAAAACATTAGTTGCTAGAGCGCTGGCGAACGCATGTAGTAAAGGTGCTCGAAAAGTATCATTCTTTATGAGAAAAGGCGCCGACTGCCTTAGCAAATGGGTTGGAGAATCCGAAAAACAACTTCGGTAATATATCTTCAATTTTTAAACAATAATTCAAGTATATTTTATTGGTATAAGATTCCGCAGTATTGCATTACAGATTACTTTTCGAGCAAGCTTATAAGATGCGACCATCCATCATATTTTTCGATGAAATAGATGGTTTAGCACCTACGAGAAATTCCAAACAGGATCAAGTTCATAGTTCTATTGTATCAACATTATTAGCTCTCATGGATGGTTTGGATAACCGTGGATCTGTTAGTTTTTTCCATTTTTATCCTTTACCACACTTTTTTTTTTGTTGAATTACAAGAGGAAAGAATACTTAATGGAAAGATTTATAGGTTATTGTTATTGGAGCAACAAATAGACTGGATGCGATTGACCCAGCGTTAAGGCGTCCCGGAAGATTCGATCGCGAAATGCATTTCAGGTTATTCACCTATTTTTATTATGCAAAAAGATTTATGGATAATGGTTTGTCATTTGCAGTCTTCCGGATACAAATGCTCGTCTTGCTATTTTGAAGATACATACAGCCGCATGGAATGCAAATCGACCTTCACTAGAGAATTTACAGTGGTTGGCCGCAAAAACTTCAGGTTATTGTGGTGCTGACATCAAAGTATGATTTTTCTCGATATTTGTAATTTTAATTTTTTAAATAAAAAATGAAAAAGAAATCTATATGAAATATATAGAGCATAAGTATATGATACGTTTATAGCTAAAAAAAAGAAAATCTGCGGAACCTCAGTATATTTATACAGTTTTATCTTGTTCTCACCTCTTACAGTATCCTATATCCTTTTCTTAATCCATCAGTAGCCTCATTTTAAATTTTTTTTTCTTCTTTAACTCCTTCAGGTTCATTTATTTCCCATTAACACCATCCATCTCCATCTTGCCTCTGTAATTTAAAGCTAAAAGGCAAAATAGTTAGTGCGCAGTTGCTTAAGGCAAGTAATGATGGTTTGTAGAAAATTCTTGGTTATGGAAGGATGTAACGAATTTTGGGAAGGCACGAATAGCCATACTATGGTTTGAAGATAAGATTTTTAATATAAGATTTTTTAAATCCATTCAAAATAAAAAACTTCCTGCTGATAAAAATTTTTTAGTCTTTGTGTACTGAGGCCGTTCTTGTTTCGCTGCGGTCGAAATTTCCTCAGATGTATACATCGTCTGAAAAATTAATGATTGATCCAGCATTACTAGTGATTGATAAAAGTCACTTTATAACAGCAATGCAGCGTATCGTTCCAGCTGGATTGAGAGGTCTGTTAAATACATTCAACTTTGGTGAAGTAATATGTTTCTTATCTCCCTCTTACTTATTATTATTGAATTCTTAGAAGATTCATTTAATTCATTTTTTTGATGCTCACGCCGACCTGCTTCAGATTTTTCCGTGCCTTCTCGTCAACTTGATGATCGCCTTGCTATTTTGCTTAGTTCAACAATAAAATCGTTGATTGAAGACAAAGTTCCAACAGGTTATCGAAGCTCATATCAGCATGATATGGTTGAAATAAGTGTCACGGAGAAAGTATTGAAAACATTAGCTGCATCACCTGTTGTTCCATCTGGTTAGTTTAGCTTTAATTTTCTTCGAATTTTCCATTCTTTTGATCCTTTTCTTTTAGGATAGTTCTTCTGCATTGCTAAGTGTTTACTTTTAATTTCAATTTTACAGTACGTTTGTTGATTCATGGAAATTCAAGTGACTGCGGACAAACATCTTATGTGTTGCCTGTGGTTGTAAATTGTCTCGATCATCTTCCTGTTTTCTCACTTTCGATTGCCAGCTTATTTTCCTCAGGTATTTTTCGAGTTTTCTGTTTTTTCTATTCCAAAATCATTCTTAAATTTAAGATTTATCCTTGTTATTATCATATCTCTATTCATATAATCCGTATTCTCATCTTCATTCATTTTAAGGCTCACCAGAAGAAAGTTTTTCGCAAGCAATTCAATCTGCAATACGTTCAGCATCCACAGGTACTCCATGTATTCTTCTTATTCCATCTGTTGATATGTGGCATCAAACCGTTCCGAGATCTGTTTGGAATTTGGTTTGTGATTTCCTTATTTTTCTATGATTTCCTTATTTTTACTGTATTCTTTCAATATATTATTTAAATATTTAAATCTTTTTTATTTATAGTTGATCACTGCACTTGACTCCTTCACTGGTTTTACTTCGATACTTCTTCTAGCATCTGCTGAATGCCATTATTCGAAACTTTCGTATGAAGTAAGAAAATTTTCTTTATCTGAAGCATGTTTGAGTTTATTTAATTTTTTATTTTTTTAATTAATTTTTTTACTGCAAAATTTCAGATACGGCGCATATTTCGAGTACAAAGTGCAGTTGAGATATATCCACCATCGGAAGAAAATCTATATACTTATTTTTCTCATGTAATTACCGAAAAAGCGCTTATTGCTCCTAAACGATTTAATCGTTAGTTCAGAAATGTTTTTTGACTACATTGGTTAATTAATATATAACAATACGAGATGGTTGAATGTGGTATATTACATCGATTTCGAAAGTAGTTGCAATTATAAGTTCAATTTCTCTTTAAAACAAAATAAAATCCAGGTGGCACTATAACCCATCTGTTTCAGTTAAGATTATCATCTTACCAGGTAGTGAATATATAATATTAAGAATAGTACGAAGTGCGAAACCAGAGACGAAAAGGGTGAAAAGCTTTCTGTTTATTAAGTATCAAGCGAGATTTGTCAAAAAATCCACTTTTAGTATTAATATTAATATTTTTTAAAATTTTGTAATATTTGAGATAATGATTTTTTTCTTTGTGTCATCAGAAATCGTATTTTTGATCAATGTTCGTACAAATTATTTTCCAATATTTGTAGCCGAAGATTTTCCCGAAGTTCCGGTAGCTGCAGATCAGGTTTCTGCACCAGTGCAACTAAATGAATCAGAAGTCGAGGAATTAAAAAAGTTATACCATCAGCATAATCATGAAGTGCTTCTTCATTATGAAATGAAATTATGTGAGTTTCATTGTATGGGTGTGGGCTATTTTATGGGTTGTGCGTGAAATGAACTAGTTGGAAATTTTATATATATATGTCTTTTTTTGTCAAAAATCTCGACTTTTTTATTAATTTAGCCCAGTTTTCTCGTGATAGACGATTTTCCGCATTCGCACAACCGGTTGATCCTGCAGAAGTTCCCGATTATTATGATATAATCAAAAATCCAATGGATTTATCTACTATGTTTTCCAAAGTTCAATCATACAAAACACCAGAAGAATTTGTGAATGATTTTCGTTTGATTTACGCAAATGCTATGGAATATAACCCGCCAGATGCAGAAGGTTACTTTGAATATTTTAAATCTGACTCTCAAGTTATCACTAATTTATTGTAATATTTTATTATTTTATTTTTATATCTTATTTATTCGTTTAGGTCGTTTGATTCAGCAGAATGCAAAATTATTGTTGGATCTTGGTCAACGCGCGGCATTTGAATTAGATACAAATTTTCTACGCGGAATAGAGGTATTTTTTTGATGAACTTCGCTAGAATACAGTTGTGAAATAAATACCAATTTCATTTTATCAATATGATCATTAGTAAATTGTTTATTACCAATAATCAAACAATTTACTAATGATCATATTGATAAAATGAAAGTGGTATTTATTTCACAACTGTATTCTTCATACTAAAGAGTTTATAGAGGATGAAGAAACTTTTGTTGCAAGCTGGAGTAGATTTGGACACTGAGGGGGATTCTGGTCAAAATAACGAATCGAATGGGAAAACAAATGTAATATCCAAATCTATGGAAAGGATACAGGAGAATGTTGTTATGGTTAGTTGTTATATTGTAATAAAATCCAATATTTTATCAGCAGTTTTGATGATTCTTTGCTACTATTGTTTTGTTCAGCTCGAAACGGCTGTAAAAAAAACATTTCCTCGAAAAGCCTATAAACGTATGAAGCGTCGAAATCACGTTGGATTTATATATAAAAAGTTCAGTAAGAACCGTTCACTAAAGAATCAGCATTCATCAAAAGCAGAAAGTTCTTCGTTGAATGTTGAAACTGAAAAACAACTGGCACTTCAGTATGAATTTCCCATTTATCAAAAAATATTATTCAAATTAAATTGTTTTTTCTCTAGTGAATTTTTTTGTTGCAATTTTTTGTCTTATATACATTGTCTTATTGTACATTGTCTTATTTCATTTGTTTGCCTCGTGAATTCAATTTGATTCTGATTTAATTTTGAATATAGGTATGAAAGCGAGGAAGGAAGAGCGAAAAGCGAGGCTGATTGCTGTGCAGTGCATGTAACTGATGAAACTTTAAAAGAAGAGGTTTTCCAAAATGATTCCTTTACCAGTTTTTATCGTTACATCCACTACTTTTTAAAAAAAAGTAAATTTTAAGAATGAAGTGGATGATCCTTTAATTTTTTTTAGAATAATGACTGTAAAAAATCGCTGCCATCGGAATCCATCATAAAAATTGATACGGAAAAATTGTATGAAGTAGTGAATGTGGTAAGTTATTTGGATTTCAGTGTTATTCACGAAACGAATTTTTTTTGGGCTTTTTTTTTGATCATATTTCTCTTTCTTTCAGGCTGTTGAAAAATGCAGTGGTTGGCCTCTTGTAGAGCTTGAAAGAGTTGCTGCTGCGTTAGCACAAATAATTGACAGTTATCGTGATATTTATGATCGAACTGAGCTACCTAGCCAACTTTTAGCTGTGATCAATGAATGGAAATACGAACATTGAGCTAGTTTTAAACTTATATAACATGCGTTTTAATAAGTAATTAGTTAAATCGATACTACCTTGATGTTTGAGAGAAGCGCAGGTCGCAAACACCAGTTTTATGTGTTTTTCAATGTTTCGTTGATCTCTTGCGTTTTATTGTTTGTCTTTCAGCATTGATATTATTGATATTATTTTACACTCATATCAAATATTAGCTCATCACCTTGTCTAACTGCCATTAAAGTCTCGATTTTGTGAAGAATTTGCTAGCAAGTTAACGTTTTTGGCAAATCGGTGTTGTTGGCACATCTCCATTCTTCGCAGAAATTGTCTCGAAATGGTTCTTTAGGGGAATATAAAACTAGGGCACTTTTTGTTTTTTATATTATTCTTGCTTATATTCAATTGTGGATTTATTTATGTATAATTCATAGTTTGATTTTCTGCCACTCGTGAAAATTGCTCTTTTAGGATTATATTCATAGAAAAATGATCATATTTTTCCTAGTTTTTTTCCCGCAAATTATGATTTACCACTAAAAATCTTAAAATCTTAAGTTTAATTTAGGTGCAATTTTTTTTCATTTACAAGGCGGTAACTTCTTTTGCTTCGTTGGAAATTTTTATTTTTCGGAGCCTTTTGAAAAACTAGCGGGTTAAAACGTTTCATGAGGATTTGTAAGTCTTTTAAATTATTTTCCAAATAGATTGTACGGCTTATTTATTGTAAATTATTTTCGAAATCTCGTTTAGATATTTTTTAAGGAATTTCTGCCAGTTTCTTCATCTTATACCTCTGAAAAATTTCGTTCCATTTCGGTACTGATGATTTTTACTTTATAATCTTTGTGTTATATACATTCATCTTTCATGTTTTTTAAATTTATTCTTTCTTATTTTGAAATATTTACTGCCTGCATATATAGAAATAGAAGTCGTTTATTCTTGCGATATTTGCGATATTTCTGTTGTAAAAATTGTTTTATATGCGCAAGGTAAATGAAGGGTTTAATCAAATTTTTATTTTTATTTTTATCTTGTAGTATTTTGATTTTAAAATAAATAAGTTTTTCTGGACCGATTATTCGCTGTCATTTACTATTGCACTATGGAAATTTTTATAAGAAGTATAAAACCCAAGGAATTTATATTTTTGAATCTTCTGACACACCGTCTCTTCATTGGCTTTTCCAGTAATTCCAGTTTTGTCCCTTGAATGAATTAAAAAAGTGAATTATTTCGAGTGGGAGAAATAAATGATGAATGACCAACAACAGTCCGAATTTTTGTGATTCTCTTGGAAAGAGCCAAAAATCGGATGGATGCCATTTTTTCAGGAATTTGATGATATGAATAAAAGGAAGAATCAAGAAGGAAGAATGTTTTCAGAATCAAATCAAAATTAGATGAAAATTAGACAAAATTATTCCAAATTGCTTAAATGGATTTTTATAAAAATTCCGAGAATATTGAATTGATGAGGTCATTTAAATTAATGTTCCCTTAAAAATAATTTGAAAATTTTTATGAAATGATTGTTGTTTTCTTCAATCGATTCGAATTTGAATTTGTTTAAAGTTTATTTAAAAAATGAAATTTTCTGGAATGAAAATTATTTTTATGAAAAAAAAAACAATGCAACAAATCTGAATCATTTTCTTCATATGCGAAAAAAGTACATATGTGAGTCTTTGCTATTCACATTAGCGATTCGTTTCGTTCAGTGAGAAATAAAATTTCCTTCGATGTTTAGCAATTTCGATTATAAATTGTGCGATAAATTAAGGCTTCAAGTAAGTTGGTATATTTATTAGTCAAAAAAAAATGAATATAATGAGAAATGTTCGAAAAAATAATTTGCAAGCCTCATTTCTGGCCAATTTTAGCACATTTTAATATCATTATCAATGATTATCATTATCAAGTCTTTTGATAATGAATGAAACGAAATATAAATGAACGAAGAGTTTGATGAACTATAGATGGGATATTCAAGATGATTAAATATGAGTTATTTCTGATAATCGCTGATAATCAATAGAAGCTCATCTCTGATAATTCTATACCACTTAATTTTGTGATATACAAATATTATTAATTTTGTTTTACAAATCAGGCTTTAAGTAAATTTTAAGCTTGTCTTTGACTTTTAGTTAAAAATATTGAAATAATAGGCAAATCTAGCTAGATTGAGTGGAAAGTTATTCTGAATTTGGACTACAATATATGGAAAAGCTCGGAAGTGGAACACCTCGTATCTTATATGAAAATTCTATTGCTTGAAGCATTTCACTGAATTCTTGTGGTACTCTACTGTTTTCCATAGCAAATTTTATTTCAACATTCACGAATTTTGCGATAATTTAAAGAATCAACAGCTTTTTATTTTTTAAAATATATTCAATATATTATTATTCAATATATTCTTCATTTTTGCTCGTTTAGATGATTTTTTAGGATGTAAAAAACGAAATTTATTATTAAATGAAATTTCTTGATAATTTAAGGCATGTCGACCTCGACGTAATATCACAACAGTTCTGCAAATTCTCCTCATAATTTCCAACATTATACTTTTTCTATTCGGTTGCATACTCTCTGTTATTTTCATGCAGTTAATTGTTCTAGCAAATATTGTTCACATCTATCTCGATAATGAAACTGTTGGTCCAATGAGTAAAAGAGATTTTGAGAATCAGGTACGTTTCTGCAAAACGAAAAATCTGTTCAGTAGCATTAGATTTTTAAAGTCGATTTCATGATAAACAAATTTTGTTTGATAATGGCAATAATTTGATAATATCGAAATAATGTCATTGTTCCTTGTGAAGTTCCTGCTATCTTATCTTTATAAGAATAGGATTAATGATTATAAGAATAGGATTAATGATTATGAATGTTTGATTATTCTCGATCTAAAACAGTGGTTCAAATAATTCTGATTGCACTTGTTGTTGTTATAGAAAGGCAACAATTCATCGACGGTAATCGCCATAATTCTATTTTAAGCACTTAAATCACTGAAGTAAAAATTTTGTTGATTTTTTATTGTCCAGTAAAATTTATTTCTTGGGGAAACAGATGTTTATGAATTATTTAAATATTTTTAAAATAAATACGGATTAATTTAAATACTAAAAAGCAAATATAACAAGAAAATATAGCAAATATGATATTTTGATATATTAAGCAATAACTTGTTTTTCCCAGGAGTATCCGCCATTTCTGGTTAGGTTCCACTCCGCTGGCTTATCAGGCTAGGCAAATTTTGCTAGAAAGACATTTGAATCGATAAAAGAAGGATCCACTAGCATTACTGGGATTTTCGAAAGATAGGCTTATTCCTGCTAGGATTAGTGCTGAAACCAGCATTGATGCTTCGAAACGAGAGTAACAACCCACTAAGCCAAAAAAGTTGCAGGAAACTAGAATTTTTATGTTCATGAAAATTTTCTATTATAATTAATGTAATGCGATTTACAGATGCGATTTTTTCTAACAACTTTTCTAATCATCAGTATCTCATTGATTGTCTCAAGTGTCGTTGGTATTATTGGGAGCTCGAGCAGGAATCGTAAGACACTAATGTTTGTAAGTCGGCTCTTTCTCCAATTTATCGCCTTTTCTCACCGTTAAGTTCCAATACACCGGTTATTGTCTTTTTCATTTCTTTTATTGATATGAATTATATTTTGCCATAGTATTTATAAAAATAATAAATAATCAAAGTACTTTAGTATGCATTATTAATGTTAATTCTGGCTATCGTAGCTGTTGCATTGCTCTCTATATCATCTTTCAGTACTGGATTAAATGCCTTTATAAAGGTTCTTTCCTTATATTTATCTCTTAAAATATTTCTCGAAGATAGAAAATTTTATCAAAATTATGTGATTATTTTCATATTATCACGACGATACTAAATTTTTTGCTTTTCAATTATTTCTAATACTTTTTCTTTCTTCTTCTTAATAAAATAATATAAATATAATATTTCTGGTTTGGTTGGTTCCACTATCACTTCGCCAAAAGTGATTTTTTATAAACTTAGAGCGCCATCCTCATTTTACTTTCATTTTTAATGATAGTTGCATTCATATCGATGGATGAATCGAATTTTTAATAATTTAACTTTAAGCAATAACATATCACTCGATTTAAATTAAAAGCGAAAAGTTTCTTGTAGAAATTGCTGAATCTCTTATCTGAATCACATGATTCGCGAAAAGGAATTGCATCGTTTCTCGGTCATTTTCAATGTTGTGGTGCATCACCAGAAACAAAAGTGACTTTTATTCTTGAAGGTCGATGTCAAAAAACCAAAGTATGAACGCGAAGAACTATTTTTGATATTTTTCATATTTTTCTATATTTTCTTGGATCATTTTTTTTCAACAGTCTTATTGTTTTATTGTTATTTGAAATCATAAATCATAAATTTAAAATTATTTCAAATCATAAATTATAAATTTAAAATCATTGTTTATAATCAGAAATGGCAAATCATAAATTTTAAATTAGAAATGATAAATATATTATTTAAAATTGCAATTGCAAATCATGGCGAAAAAAACTCATTTTATTTGGTTTTGTCCGTTCTGAAAAATTTTATTTTATGAAATTTTATAAAATTATTATTAATTATTATTATATTATTATTATTAATTAATTATTATTATTAAAATTATTGATTAAAATTATTAATTTTTAAATTATTTTTCAGTATGCTGTCGATTGTGCGACATATCTTAGTTCATTAATCTCGTGTTTCTTCTTTGCTGTTTGCTGTATTATTTTGGCCGTAAGTATGGTACATTTCACGTTTTCGTGCTTACTTAGAGCAATTGTTAGAGAAAATACGAAGTTAAAATTCAGTTCATTATAAAGTAAAGATCGAACTATTTTGTGGTACTTGAAGAAGTGAAAAGAAAGGTGAAATGAAAATTTTTACGATGGAAAAACGCAAACGCAAGGAATTATGATTGTTTTCTTTCGACCATAAGTGTGTATCAAACGATGAACGATTTGATGAAATTTGATAAAATTTGAATCTTTTGGAGAAAATAAATGAGTTTTTTTTTGCTGGGCTACATATGCACTTTATATATAAATGTATTACGAACTGCTATAGATTCGGCCGAACTGCCGAATTAATTCTTGAATTTTTGTCGTGTTGGGCTGGGAATTATTCTATATTGCGAGACTTTCCTTCGCTCCGAAAGTAATCTACAAAACTTTTCAATTTTCTCTTTATAGAGTTTCCTTTTTCTTCAAAATTTTTTCATCAAAGCCTTCTTCAAGGAAAATTATAAAAAATTTTTTTACTTCTCTCGGAAAAAGTCAAATTCTTCATTCTTCCTTTTTTTTTATTCTTCTAGCATTTTAATTTTGATTTGCCACTTTTATTTGTTTCTTACTTTTTACTTT